GTTCGTGAAAACGGAATTAATATCGGGAGTTCTCCCTTGAAGCAACGAGAAGATAAATTGTTAGTTTCGTGATAAACGTTGAAACTACAATTGGGGTCTAACGAGTGTATATTTTAATCGTTTTAATATCGAGTTAAAGTATAGAGATACTGCAATATATTTCTCATTGTTCAGCGTGTACAATACGCGTAAAAAGGCTTCTATTTTCGAACCGCGCAATACTGTGCTCTCTTATGATCGATTTCGCGTGTACTTGTGCCGTAAAGTGCAAAGTATAATTAAAATGCCACGATGTAATTAACGAGTTAAACTATTGTCGTGACATAGATATGAAGTGTATGTATAATACAACAAAACATTTGTGATGATGCTAAATTAGATGTGGCATTTTCAGTGCGCACATTTCATGTTTGCTCGTAAATTTTACTGAAATAATAATTTATATAATTAGAAGATTATTTGAAGATATAAATTGTGGTGCTCGTAAAGGCGATCTTTGTATCCTTATAGTTTTTATAAACCTCCTATAGTTTTTATTACTTCTAATATAATCGATAAAGTGAGTCTATTGAACACATTTAATTAAGTTGCATCTGCAAATTTGAATTATTGTTATTAAAATAAACTTAGTACGTACACACATTCGAGTTACGTCATTTTGGCTTATTATAAATACTTTTCAATACCTAATATAAATTAAATGTCATAGACTCAGTAACTGTGTTACAGATTTTGACCGTCATCTCCAGGGGGTTAATTATTCGAAGGCTAAAATTTATTCGGATACGACCGATAATGAAATCATACTAATCAAGCCCTATAATTAATTAAGAAATTATATTTCTCTAATTAATTGCATGCCTTTATATTTCAACGTAGATGTTTATAATCCTATAACGTATCAGGGAATATAGTCGAATTGTGCTTGTGCTATATCCATTGCTATAAATCTCAGCTGTCTTTATTATTATATTTCAAAGCTTTTAAAATCCTTTTCGAACCGCAGGTTGCTATATTGTGCGAATTTTAATTAATAATTCTAGGTCACTGAAACTTAATTAGCAACCTTATTAATTCCGCAACAATGATATACGAGACCGTTAGCTATCCTGCTTCTTTCTTTTCGTTTTTATTGAATGTTATTTACATTTTCTTAATTAGATGAGATATCGATTAAATGTATCATGAATATACATATCTTTACCTTCTTCCAATTAAAGTACAACTCTATATTAATGAAGGGACAAATAACAGTGTTAAAAATTAAGCATTACAATTCTAATCACGTTTATCTAAGTTACGTAAGACAATAGATTGAATAGAATGTAAAGAACTCCATAATAATTATACGGAAAATTAAATCCCGATAAAATGAATTAGTTTTCACATATGACGTAGCTTATAATGTGATGAACAAAAGATATCTTAGACATCAGGCTATAACATGTTTTATTCACTATAACATTAGATTATGAAAATTGACTCATTTAACCGGGATCCGATTTTCCATATAATTAATGCAGAATCCTTTTGTATTGAAATGTAATCGATAAAAAGCTATAGAAGACTAATCGATCGAAGCTTTATCGAAGCTTTATCGAAGATTTCGAATAGTAGCAGATTTTGTTGCTAAATCAAAGAATTGCGGAGTGACGTTTGAAACGCGCGAATTGTGGAACGTCGAGCACAAACACAGGATTTGGCGTATCTTTACAGTGCTGAGGATGCTGACGCCAAGAAGAGCGGAGGTAGGCCCCGAGGAAATCGGGGACGGGCCCGGTGACAAGGGTACGAGCAGCGCGACGAGCGGCTCGGTCACACCAGGCGGTTCCTACGAAAACGGCGATAACTCGAAGGAGTTCCTGTCGACCGGAAGGACCGGGAGGAGGAATGCGTTACCGAATATCCTTGGTCGACACGCCGAGACTGGCCTTTCCGATTTATCAGATCGTTTCGAGGAACTGTCCACTCACACAGGTATCAAGTCAGCTATATTCTTCCATCATTTATGGCCTCGAACAGAGGAATTGTAAATAATAAGTTGCGGTAGACAAAGAAAATATTTTTCGCTCCGTCTTGTGTCTGGCGTGCACTGATTTATTGCACAAAAAGAATAATCTGAAAATAATTTTATTCAATCATCAAAATAATTATGTAAGAACTCGAAATAAGTATGATGATCAATATTGCAAAATAGTTCGACATTTCAGGAACCAGTTTGAGTATCTTCAATAATTATTTTGATAGTTTAACAAGATTATTTTTAGATCTGTATCTAATTAAATTTTTGATACTTTAACAAAAACGCGATTCTTTCCGCATGTAGATAATTTTTTAGATATTTCAGCAGGAAACAGTTTTTTGCAAGCAGAGCTATTAGAAAGCAAAGCTTGGCATTTTTTATCCTGGAAAAAGAAATGTTATTTTTTGCTCTTTTTTCGGTGTTATAATTTTAATGGTTGTGCAACGTTATCCTTTTGAAAGGGAACTCGGATTGCTCAAGGTCTCATGTGTTGCAGATCATTCTACCAAAAGCGGGCAGGATCCGAATATACCAAGCACCTCGAAACAACACGGCTGACATGTTCGTGAGGCTTCGTAGCGGATCTTGCTGTCGCGACATACTGAGCCTTCCCATCACCGATGACGATGAGGATGCAATGGAAGCACGTATCGTTTCTGTGAACAAAATCCTCGAACACTCTTTGACTCACTTATTAACTGTTACTAACGCGATAGAATATATCGGATAATACGACTGACACGCATAAACGATGAATTTAATGACGTTTTGTCATGTCTGCTAGGGAATGTTAGAAAATAAAAATACGGGAAATTGACAGAGTTTGAACTCAAAGTGAACTGAAGGAAAATTGAAGGTTTCAATTCAAGAAATCGTAAAATTGTAAATTGTAAGACAGCTTTGCAGGTATATCTTACAAATTATGGATTTAATTTGTTTGTACAATATAAAGAATTTTTCGAATAGCTCTCAAAGGGAACCAATGATTTTTTGCCGTTAAGGTAAGATCGACTTGCCTCTCGAATAAAGAAATACCAACAGGATTAGTTTTGCCAGAAAAAGTCCAATAGCTTTCGTGAAATGTTAGAATCATGCACGTTTAAAAGTGAGATATGCTTTAACTCATTATCAGTGAAAAACGAAAGCAGATAAATAAATGTCGAATTTATAAATTGTAATTTTATTTCTTTTTCTTTTATTGTTATTTATGATGTATTGTTACTTATATTGAAACATAAATCAAAAAGTTAAATTTAAGAAGTGTTTTTTAGCATTTTCCATGTTAAATAATTGACTATTTATGACATTTCTGTTGGAATTGGCATATTCCATATTAAAACTGGCAAAGTACATATTGAAGCAGGTAAATTTACTAAATGTGATGTGATATTTGGCTCGATTCTAGCTTTGTTAATAACGCTGTTTTAAAAAGGTTATGTATGCATGTCGCGTATGTGTGTGTGCGTGTATGTGTGCGATATGTATTTTTAATAAAATTTCTACAAAAGTCCTTTTTATTTTATATTATGCGACTATTAATTAAAATATTACGAGAAAGGAGCCAATGAAAAACGTGCCATCAAGAAAAACTCGTTAAATCAATTTAGAATTTTCCACTTTTTGTGCTGTTGTTAAATTTTATAAGTTCCCTATGTGCATAGGAAAACTAATTGTACGCTTTTAATATCCAAGAGCGGCATTGATATTAATGCACAGTGTATCCGTGATAAAAATACGAGTATTATTTAAATTATATATCGTAGAATTACTTCAGTCCTTTTAAAAATTGCGTACTTTGCGACAACGCTGCAACGTAATATAAAGAAGTATATTCTACATCTTGTTAAATCCCAAATCCTTAACTCTAGCCCGCAATTTCAAATTCATTGATCAACAAGATTTAGGTTGCAGCAAACGATGGCCTCATACGAAATTTTTGTCAACGAAATGTCGACTCGAATAATCTAACAATAAGTGATTTGATGCGATTCTACGCGCTTTCGACGCTCGTCTTTTTCCGAATAACTTTTGTTGAATTTCTGAACTCTTGGGATGAAAAATAAATATATTCAAGAGAAGTTTTTTCGATACAGTTTCGAGAACAGCGCGGATCAATATCTCGAGCGAAATTAACTTTTAAAGTCTTTACGGCCGTAATTTCTCCTTCAAACATTTATCGCGGAAATGTAAATTGCACTCGCGACGTTTAAATTACGAATTGCAGTACCATGGCGTAATTTTATTAAACGTTGCGCGTTGTTTATACCTAGATCGCTTCGTTACTGTGCGATTATCTCTTCTCATTAACGTTTTACAGCTACGCGACGGCAACGCGCAAAGTACTGAGATATTTGGTCTGTTTTTTTAGCTGAACTTCTTGCACCGTTTATCTTTCTTCCTTTTCTGTCTAAAGCGGAGAGAAAAAGAGGAAAGATGAATGGTGCAAGCTCAGCTAAAAAAAAAAAATAGACCTGTTTTAGCAGCCGAAAACGCGATTAGATGTTTGTACAGATGAAATCAAGCATACAATAGCGTATAATTTAATAGCATACGACAGCGGATGTGTACATACATATAAAGATATTTAGATTCCTCGAAGGCGATACAATTCACTCGATCGCGAGCTTGTCCTGGATTTTCACGAACATGCGTTTGAGCATGTTAGTTAAGTTAATCAATAAGATATGTTTAATTTTGTATATAGGCACGTATCGTGTAATCGCGCACATGCTCGTATTCTCCACGTACTTTTTATGCTAAATACGAGCCGTTCGATGTTCGTCTTAAGCGTTTCTTCTTGTGTTTTTTTTTCTGCGTTGGGCAAACGAAAGTTATAGGCTTAGGAAGTTGGCGTAAAGTGTACGACGAGAATATGGATCACGTTCCCTGCGTGACATAAGTAAACATTTTGCGTGTTCCTCGGCGATCACCGAGGACATTCGTCTTTACGTATTTCGAGGGAGACAAACAAGTAAGGATACATTCGTACAGTAGCCTTGACAACCTATAATTACGACGTAAAACGTTCTGGGGATAAAAATTGAAAATGATTTGTATCTTGCATTAATTATTACAAGATTAATCTGACAACGGAAATTTGCTCCCTCTATTTGGACTATATTTCCCTTACAGAAATTTAATACTGGAAGATAGTGATTAATTACTTACTAATTACTGTTATTTAGTGCTTTTAATACTCAAAATAAGTAATTTTCAGTATTACATTAGTCAGTATTAAATTGGATTAATAAATTATTTTGAGTATTAAAAGCAGTGTTGTTTGGTACTTTTTTGAATACTCAAAATAAGTAATTTTTAGTATTAAAGTGACTAGTATTAAACTGAATTTCTGTAAGGGTTGATTACCGCTAAGTTCTCGATATTCCACGGAGACGTGTGATAAGCAACGATTGATAAATGATCTCTAATCAAATTCGTGTTGCGTTATCTAATCATTTGATGCTTGTAATTTAAGAATCGACCGCGCTTTTGTGCGACGATGAGTAAGGGAGGGAGAGAGGGGGTCTGAGCATCGATAACGTGTTTTTCACCGGCGTACCTGCTTTTCGTAGTCAATAATGATAATCGCGCCGACCGAAGATAACGGTCGACGTCGTAAACGCATGTTTGTACGATAAAAAAAAATGCGGATTTGAACAGACCCGATCCATTCAAACGATAGCCGACGTCCGCGATTAATATATTTCGACGCAAATGATTCTGAGCACGTCGATGATCACGGGGCGCAATAACGCGGAATCGCGCCCACGCAATCGCGCCCCCGCTAATACATCGGTCTACGATATACCGCTGCAATTATTATTAAAAAATAATAGGATCGATTGTGGCGCGCGGAGCAGCGGTCAAATATTTCCCATGGCCTTTGTGCGTGAGCGCAGTAGGTATTTCCTGTGAGGGAAATTAAACTCGTACGCGTGCGGAGAAGATCGATTGTAAAATGATGTATGTTACTTTTACTCGTGGGAACACAATACATTTTGATTCGTAAATGTGCAAACTCCTTATGTCGCAACCCGATCATCTCCCTGTTCCTGTAAAGTATCCCGTATCTCGAGATTGCGCACGCTTGAGCGTTGGAATCAGCTCTTGTAGTACGTCGGTGAAATTGAAATTAAAAGTGTCTTTTAGACGTCACTTGAAATCTGCATAAGAAAGACGAGAAAACAAGGCTCTCGAGTACGTACACTGTTAGATATCAAAGGAGCGATGATAATCCAATTTTTTAATTAAAAAAAAAAAATAATATTTTTTATTTCTAATTTCCGTCTATCAAAATGTAAATCGATCCTTTCTGTTATTTCAAAGTAAATATCATCTACGTGAACGTTATTAATAAATAATGAAATTCTTCGACACTCCATTGTTTTAATTAAATTAATGGCATATTAAGTAGAAGCAATGGTGACTTATAAATATAATTAAAAATAAAATTCAAATTGAACAAAATCTAACATAATGAATTCAATAGTGTACCGTATTGCACTGTACTGTATCGTAAAGATACTTTTCATAAAATATTCTTTTTACGCAGAAGAGAATTTCTTTTTACGAAGTCTGACATAAAACCAAAGAAGAAGACAACACCATGTATTACAAACACAGCACACCAGTACAATTCCAAACACATTTATCTAAATTGAAATTGTGTTACGATAAATAAAGAATGTTGTTTCCGTAGCGGCAAAAAATTTCTGAAGCGAAGATAAAGGAGACAGAGAAGTTGGATAATTTTTTTTCCCCAAGGTGTGTATCGGCACGATACATTTTAACACGGTGACGACGGTCGACGTTATCGCGAATTACTCTCGAACGCAACAGCTATTAAACGATGAGGTGGTCTCGCGGTAAGCGCGAATCTATCGGCTCTCACGTGCATAATTTATAAAGGGAGGATATTAAAGTAGGCCGCGGTTTGCGGGACAAACCGCAGTATGCGCTTGCATGCGGAAAGTATGCGCGCATACTGTGCTACGCACCGGGGAGACGGTGGCAGGTGGCGGAACAATGGGAAAATTCCGTTTGCACAGCTTGTGTCAGGAAGACGAGACCGTCCACGTGCGCATCGTCCAGGAAAATGCCCGTGAGAGGATAGAACAAAGACAGCATCGTCGTGTGCTTCTGTCAACATATGAGAGAGAGAGAGAGAGAGAGAGAGAGAGAGAGAGAGAGAGAAAATATGCC